CGGGCAGACGGCTGGCTGTTTGGGGAAGGTTGAGGGTTTAGCCTTTCTTGCTCTGGTGACGTCCCTGGACTACCGTGACCTATGTCTGCGGAGAAATCTAGCGGCTTTGCTGTGTGTCTTGAGGCTCCGCTTCTCCGCGAGGCTGGCGAGATAGCTGGTTGTCCTCAAAGAACGCGGTTACCCTAGGTCCATGTGCAGGGTGGGTGCCTGTGGAGGGTGTTGCTTTGCTTCAAAAAACGAATCTTGTTGCTCGGAGAGGGCAATGAGCCCCCTCGGGTTTCCTCAGCTTGTACTGGGGCTTTGTGCTGGGGAGGGAAGGTTAACATTTCAAGGCCCTTCTGTACTACCTGTTTCGTTTCATTAGAAACCAGTTTTTCCATAAGCGCAATTCATACACGTCACCTCTGTGCGCTCGGGAAGGGAATGCTCTTATGTGGACGATATGAAAACTCTGAGCTCTAAAATGTCACTTTAAATCTTTAAATGCTGTCTTTTTTTTTTTTCTTTTTCTTCTTCCGCGTGGGTGGGAGGGGCTTACTTTAGTCTAAGGGCCGGCCTTACTTCAGCCAAGAAGTTACCTAGAACAAATTTGAACAACCTAAAAAACAATGCTCCGCGCCACCCTCCCCCGCCCCCCATTTCCTCGGAGAAATTTGTCTAAGTATCACTGTAGAAGTCGAATGACTTAAATCCTTTAATTTTTTTCCCTTCACTCCAGCACTGTTTTCTGGTGGAAGGGAGTTCTAGGTTTGTCCAAAAGAAATAAAGACAGAATAGCTGCCAGTTAATTTTACATTCTCAAATCATTAAAATTGAAGAAAAGGAAGCTAAGAGGAATAAATTAGTAATCAAATTTGATAATGGTAGTTTTTTCTAATACACTGTATTTTTTTAAGAACAAAGTTAAAACTTAAAAAGAGGCTGAGGATGGAAGGAACTTCTTTGTTCTATCTTCTTCAGAATGTTAGAAGTCTTAAGAACTCAGGACAAGCAGCAGAAATACATGCAACATGGTGACTGGTGAGTTAAAATTGTTCATATGCTAGAAGTATGTGTGCATAGTTTTTTCCTGCTATTATTGAAAACATTACAATCCTGTCAGTCATTCTGGGTACTGTCTGCCAGAATCTGCTAAGTGCTGGAAAACTGAAGATGTGGGAGACTGCTACATCTTTAAAACCAGCCACAGTTTGTTGCTTGAACATTGTTCTCTTAAAATATAAGTGTTATTGCAATCTTAGCATAGCAAAGCATTAATTAACGTCCTAAATGCAAAACAAAACAAAAAAACACAAGTTTATCTAGGACATACTTATAATTTTATTATACTTGTTTTTTGTTATACTGTTTTATTTTTTTTTTATACTTCATTATTGTCACCTCCTTTTGGATCATATTTGTTTTGATCTCGGTAGACATCTTTTAAATTGCTGTTTGTAAATAATGTTTCCATTATCTCATCAACTGAGATTTTCTTATTAGATATCATCTTGTCCTCTGTGATGAATTGTTTGTGTATCTCTCCAAGAAATTCTACAGTTCCACATCTCCTTTTCAGTTCATGTTGACATTTCAACAAAAGATAAAATAGAGTTGAATTTTTTAAAGTTTGAATTGTTCCAATAAAATGGCCATAGTGAGAGGCTTTTGTATGGGTGACCTCCTTTATGGAAGCTTCAAAATTTAGGGATGTCTTCCTTTAAGCTTGCATGTTTTCTTTTAATTTGATCAGCTGTAGTTTGTTTTTGATGTTCTCATGCTTCTTGCTTGTCTGCTTTTTAAATGACCACCTTTTATTTGTGAGGGTCTTTTATTTCTGAATTGCCCTCAGAATGAGATGTTATGTGAACACCTGTTCTTTTCTGTTACTTTGTTTCCTGGCATTTTGTTCCAGATGTTCTAAGTCCTCTTCAGGCTTGACTTAAATGCTTCCTTTGTGTTTTTTTTTTTCACCTGTCCTATTGGATTGTGATTTTTGTGTTGTTGTTTGTTTTTTTCTGGATAGGCCAGGGCCTAGTGCATGTCTAACACATGCTCAACCATCAAGCTCCCCCCTCCCCATTGTGATTTCTGTTATTAAACTGAAGTGACTGCATGAAAAATTGACACATTAATTTTTTTGCTTTGCTCAAAGGGGAAAAGGAATGGTCTTTGGGTCAGTGTTTACGTCAGGGCAAAATGTAGGTAGGGCTGATGAATTGTAGCAGAAAGCTGACGCTTTCCTTTTTAAGACAATTATGAAATATTTATTTGTATACATTATATGTACAGATATGATCTGTGCACAATTTAATGAGAGAGAAATTATGGAGTGAACTCCGATATAATTACTTCTCTAAGAAATAGAACAATGCGAAAACCTCTGAAACCTTTATGGTGTCCCTTCCTGGTCACAGTTTCTCAGTACTTAGAGACAATTACTATTCTGACTTGTGTGATAATCCCATTGTTTCTTTTTCATTTTACATTTCCCACGTTTGTATTCCTAAACATAATATTTGGTTTTTAAAATATAAGTGGAATCATGCTTCATTATTGTCACCTCCTTGTACCATTATGCTTTTCAAATTTGTCCATGTTTGCAGCTGTAGTTGATTCCCTTTTCAGTATTATATTCTGTTATATGAATATACCATAATTTTATTCGTTCCACTGTTGATAAACATCTGAATTGCCTCCAGTTTTTGGCTAACAAAATTTCTATGAACATTTCCTATATAAGTATCTTTTACACAAATGAGGGTGTCATTTTATATCTAGGGGCAGGATTGCTTGGTGTTATGAAATGGATATTTTAACTTCACTAGCTAATGCAGGTGTTTGTGCCACTTGACAGCCTATCAGTACTTGGTAGGAATATGAATTTGAAGTTTCTGTTTGAAAGTATGTGTTATCCCAGAATAGAAACATGGTGAAAATGCCCCCAAATTAGAGATTCCTATAACGGCATGGGTCAGATGAGTGGCCCAGTGGGATAATTTCTGTAATTTCTATCACAAACCTTGTAGTAGGTTAGTATCTTTAAGAAAAGATATGTAGGGAGAGACTGGGAACGTGACTAAGTGGTAAAGCATTTGTCTGGCATGTGTTAATTCCTTATGTTAATTTTGACAAACATGACTGTAACTCCTCAAAATGGAAATTAATTTTTTCTTATGAATGTAGTCTTCAAATCAGACTTAAGTAAACTATGAGGAGCCATTGCTAGAGTAGATGGGATCCTTAAGAGGGGATTGAGGCCCAAGGAAGAGGCAGGACTCTCTGAGGCAGCTCAAATTATCTTAGCCCGTCACAAATTCAAGACCTATTCAGCAGAGCTGTATAGAGAGTCTGGAAGTGACCCAAGAGGGGGTGATTCTGCTGAGTACCTAGATCTTCCCTTAGTACCTAAATAGAAAAAAAAGAAATTAGCAAAAAAAGAAAAACAAAAAACCCCAATCCTATGGAAATGATTATTGTTTTAGAGTAATGTTTTTCCATGGTGCCATCTTTTTTTCTAGTTATAAAATAATAGCTTATGTGTTGAGGGACTGTTCTGCACACTGTACTGAGCTCCACAGGAGCAGATACCGGGTCTGTACCAATGATCTGTTTGTACTTAGTAGTGAAAATGTGGATCTGTTGATGAGGGACTAATTTGTCTTTATTGTTCTGAAAGCAGCTCTACTTCAAGTATTTAGAAGCAAAATACTTGTTTATAGACTCTATACCCTCCATTAGTCCTTTTTTTTTCATTATTAATCTCATTTGGCTTACAGAAATTGGGAGTACTCAAAGATCCTCACAGATTCTTGTTTTATAGAAGTATTTTAATTAATTTCTTTCTGCTCACCAAGTCGTTGACTTGGAGTTAATTAAGAATCTTTTGTCTCTTTGGGGTTATGGAGGGTAGTATTCTCAAGCTTCTCTTTATTTCCAAGGCTCAGCCTTTGTGTATTGTGAGTATCATCTTGAAGAAGTTAACAATCTTATGTAAGTTTTTGGTGCTAGATGGTTTTGTTTGTTTTCAGATATTGAGGGAAAATTATATTGCCATCTACAAGAATTGTCTTCATATCTGTTACTGTTATTGCAGTCTGATCACTGTGTAGAAAAGGATGACTTTAGTTACTTTTTTGACTTAATACAACTTGTGAAAAGAACAGAGTATTAAACAGGAAGTAACTTAAATCCTGTTATTCTATTAGCTGGGCATAACTACTGTTAGTATTCTGATATATTTTGACAGTTTTTTTTTCCTAATGTATAATTAAGCAATACTGGGATATAGTAATAAAACTGTGTTGACTGCTTTTTTACACATGTGTCTCAGTGTCATTAAGTATTTGAAAATCCCAAAACGTTCTGGGCAAGAAATTCCATGACCCCATGTTAGTATGCTTTTTTTTTTTTTTTTTTTTTAAGATTTATTTTTTAGTTGGACACAATACCTTTATTTAATTTATTTATTTTTATGTGGTGCTGAGGATTGAACCCAGGGCCTCGGACATGCTAGGCGGGGGTACTACTGCTGAGCCACAACCCCAGTCCAATAAGCTTTTTGTTTTTATAAAGCTAATCAGATGATAGAAAGGTCAGTGGAATCACACACAAAAAGAAGCAGTTCTTATTCATATGAATTAGTTATATAATAACATTGATGTTTCAATTTGTCAGGCAAAGAGATTTCAATAATTCAATAAGTGGCACAGAGAGGGAAAGTAGAAATAACTGGGGAATATTATTGATCAAATTATATTGTTATATTGTTTGCATGTACGAATATGAAATAACAAATCTCACTGTTATGTATAACTATAACGCAGCAGTTTAAGAAATGTGAAAAAATAAGTGGTACAAAGACAAATTATTAGGTCACATCATGCGAAATTAACTTCTAAATGGACCAGAATATTTTAATAAAACGTGTTCTGAGAGACTAGAGATGCAGCTCAGACGTAGAACACATGCTTAGCATGTATAAGGCCCTGGTTTGATTCCCAGTACTACCAAAGAAAAAAGTGCTTGCTTTGGCAGCACATATATTAAAATTGGAATAGTACAGAGAAGATTAGCATGGCCCCAAGCAAGGATGACACACAAATTCATGAAGTATTCCATATTACAAAAAGTATGCTGAAAACAAATATTATAGATAAATGATAATTTGATCTTATGGGTAGAGAGGGCCTTTTTTTTTTTTTTTGGAGAAGACTTTTTTATTTTTTGGGGGGTGGTATTGGGGATTGAACTCAGGGGGACTCAACCACTGAGCCACATCCCCAGCCTTATTTTGAATTTTATTTTAGAGACAGGTCTTAACAGTTTATTAGCACCTCAGATGTTGTTGATGCTGGCTTTGAACTCACAATCCTCCTGTCTCAGCCTCCCGAGCTTCTGGAATTACAGGTGTGCGCCACCACACCTGGCTGGAGAGGACTTTTGAATATGTTTCTGAAGCTTTAATTATTCTAAGCAGTATGTACTTGTCAGCATGTGTCAGGTCAAATGTTAACTTAATGAGATTTTTATTATTGGGATGGGTAAGTCTGGTGGATACTTCAAGAGGGCAAATTGAAAGGACAAGAAAGGAAACCAGAAACGATTTAGTCTGTAAAAATGAACAGATTTGTTATGTTCCTTCAAATTTGTCTTTTCCATTAAAAATTCTTAAATTCTTCATTGAATCTATTATTTGTTAAAATCTCTTACTGTCCTCTGATTCAGTGATTCTCAAATAATTCTGTGGAATTTTACAGAAAATAGCATTTGAGAAGCAGAGACTTCTGCTTCAAACCCCACCTACCATTGGAGCACAGCAGAGAGTTTTGTACTCTATGGTCTAAAACACTTTAAATACATGACCAGTGATTAACAAAACATGAAGCATTATAGAATTAAAAAAAAAAAATAGTTTTAGTTGTTGAATAGACCTTTACTGTATATATTCATTTATATGTGGTGCTGAAAATTGAACCCAGTGCCTCGCACATGCTAGACACTCTACCACTAAGCTACAACCTCAGCCCTATTATAGAATACATCAAACATTTCTAAGAATAGAGAAGAATATGATAAATATCTGTGTATTTGCATTTTCTAACAGTTCTATAATTTTTTTTTCTACTTAAACCTTATTGGGGGCTGGGGTTGTAGCTCAGTGCAGGAATGCTTGCCTGGCATGTGTGATGCAGTGGGTTTGATCCTGAGCACTATGTAAAAGTAAACGAATAAATAAAGGTATTGTGTCCATCTACATCTAAAAAATATTTTGAAAAAAAAAAAACCTTGTTGGTCTATTTATTTTTTATTTTAAAAATTTTTATTCTTATTTTTTGGGTGCTAAGGATTGAACTCAGGGGCAATCGAGTACTGAGCCACATCCCCAACCCTATTTTGTATTATATTTAGAGACAAGGTCTCACTGAATTGCTTAGCACCTCCCTTTTGCTGAAGCTGGCTTTGAACTTGTGATCCTCCTGCCTCAGCCTTCCGAGCCAAGATTACAGGCATGGACGACCATGCCCAGTGGTCTTTTTATTTTTATTTAGTTTTATGTGGTATTGAGGATGGAACTAGTGCTTCACACATGCTTCACAAGCGTTCTACCATTGCACTTTAATCCCAGCCACCACCACCATCCCCCCTTTTTGATACTGGGGATTGAACTCAGGGGCAGTCAACTACTGAATCACATCCCCAGCCCTATTTTGTATTTTATTTAGAGACAGGGTCTCACTGAGTTGCTTAGTGCCTTGCCATTGCTGAGGCTGACTTTGAATTCAAAATCCTCCTGCCTCAGCCTTCTGAGCCACTGGGATTACAACAGACATGCACCACCACACCCAGCTGCAACCCCAGCCCTTTTGATGAAAATTTTAAGGAATTACTTTCATTTTATTTTTGTGCTGGGGATCCAGCCCAGGGCTTCATATATGCTAGGCAAGTGCTTTACTATTGAGCTATACACACAGCCCTAAAGAATACATTTTGCTTCTTTATAAGCATCTATTTTTTGAAGCTTTTGCTCAGTTCTTTCTGAGAACTTAATATCCAACTTGTTTGCTCTTTTGCTCAGGGAATAAATTTATATTTGGATTAGACTTTCTTGTAGTAATTCTTTTGAATGTACTATTCTAGAAATCCTGATAGGAAGCATTTGTTTGGAGATGGCATGGGCCAAATGGTTTTTACTGTCTTTGCAATGTTGGTTTAAAAAAATGCTCTAGTTTATTGTGGCATGAAATGCTCTTATTTAAAAGGTTTATTAAATAGAAACTATACTAAGCTAATTGCTTGTGAGAGAGCAAAGGGGTCTAGGGTATGGCTCAGTGGTAAAGCATGTGCTTTGTCATGTACAAGGTGCCACATTTTAAAAATTAATAAATAGGGGTTGTAAAAATTAATAAATGGGGTTGTATGTAGCTCAGTGATCCAATGCTTGCCTAGCATGTGAGGCACTGAGTTCAAATCATATAAATAAAATAAAATAAAAAATTTTAAAAAATTAATAAATAAGGGAAAGGTGGTGGCTCATGCCTGTAATCCCAACAACTACAGAGGCTGAGGCAGGAGGATTGAAAGTTCCAGGCCAACATGCAAGACTGTCTCAAAAAACAGTCTGGGGAATCTAGCTTAATGGTGGAGTGTCTCTGGGCTTCAATATCCTTATTATTATAAAAAGAAAAAAGAAAGTAAGGGCTAGGATTGTTGCTCAGTAGTAGAGTACTTGCCTAGCATGAATGAGGCACTGGGTTTGATCCCCGGCACCACATAAAAATAAACAAGTAAAGGTATTGTGTCCATCTACAACTAAAAAAATTATTAAAAAAAAAAAAAAAGTAATGTGATTGGCAGAGGTTTATCATGAGAGGAGGGTGATTTAAATGCCTTAAACTCTCCTGGACAATTGATAAATATTTAAGACTGGTAGATCAAAAACCAGAGGTCAAAGCATATTTTTAGCTGTTATTACTTTACATTTTATGGCTTCACATCACTGCCCCCTCCAAAAAAATCTCAAAAATTAAGAAACAAAATAACAAAAAACTAGGTGGAATTCTAAATTGAATATTGAAAGAAGTTTGTATCTAGGAAGAAATGGTGGTAAAATTCTTCATACTTAATATCAGACCTGAGATGAAGCTTAATCTGTCCTACCTGAACTTCTGAAATTTGAGTGAGGGGAAATAAAACCTTTTAACCTAGGGACTGGCTTTACTGGGCAATTCTTTTTTAATTATTATTTTTCATTTTTATTTATTTATTTTTTTAAATTTTTTTAATATTTATTTTTTAGTTATCGGCGGATACAACATCTTCGTTTTGTATGTGGTGCTGAGGATCGAACCCGGGCCGCACGCATGCCAGGCGAGCGCGCTACCGCTTGAGCCACATCCCCAGCCCCATTTTTTTATTTTTTAAAATATTTTTTTTAGCTATACATAGGCTACAATGTTTTTATTTTGTTTATTTATTTTTATGTGGTGCTGAGGATCGAACCCATGGTCTCACACGTGTGAGGCGAGCGCTCTACTGCTGAGCCACAACCCCAGCCCCTACTGGGCAATTCTTAATATGAAAGTTTTCCAGCTCTGTAACTTTAAGTATTTCTTTGAATGGGTATTTACTTGTATTTATTATCTCCCAGATTGCTGACAAAAAAAGTATTTCTTGCATGACTGTCTTTGCTTTTTTAAAAATTGATTTGACGGCCAAGCCTAATGGCCCACACCTGTAATTCCAGCTACTCTAAAATACTAGCAGCATAGGAGACTGAGGCAGGAAGATCACAAGTTTGAAACTAGCCTTTGCAACTTAGGGATACCTATTTCAAAATAAAATAAATGACTGGGGATGTAGCTTAGTGGCAGTGTGCTTGCCTCACATGGACAAGGCTTTAGGTTCAAAAGCAAACAGGACCAACAACAACAAAACAACAACCCAACTTAAGATTGCTTGAATTTTCAAAATTGCCTGTACTAGAATCATAGCTATTGTGACAAAGCAATTTTTATTTTTTGGCAGTACTGGGGATTGAACCCAGAGCCTTACTCTTGCCAGGCAAGTGCTGTACCACATTCCTAGCTCAACTAAAATGTTGAAGAAAATAAATTTAGGAAATTTAAGTTCCAGTTGACCTTTGCTGGTTTGTTTTGTTTGTTTGTTTTGGTACTAAGGATTGAACCCTGAACCCAGAGGCACTTTACCACAGAGCCACATCTCCAGCCCTTTTTTATTTATTATTTTGAGACAAAGTCTCACTAAGTTTTTGAGACTGGCCTCAAACTTGTGATCATCCTGTCTTAGCCTCCTGAATCGCTGACATTACAGTCAGGCGTTTCTGTGCCTGCAGCTGTTCTGTTCTTATTTTTTTACTTTTATTTGAAGTTCTGGGATCCAAGTGCTCCACCACTGAGCAATATCACTAGCCTTGCTATTCTTTTTCTTTTTCCCCCCAGTACTGAGGAATACTGAGCTACATCGCCAGCCCTTTTTATTTTGAAATAGGGTCTCACTGAATTGTCCAGGCTGTCCTGGAACTCCTAAGTGCTTTTCCTGAGTATCTGGGAAGTGTGTACCCGAACTAGCTGTTGTTTTATAATGAAGGTGAAAAACTGAAATGCACTGGCATTGTAGAGGACCCAGTAAAAGCTTCTCACATAATCTCTCCCTTGACCACTTTTGAGCAGTGGGGTATATATGATTATATACGGATCCCCTTGTGAATTGGGTCTTTATTGTAAGAGATGCCTTAAGGAAATCCAGCCTTGAGGCTATTAAACAAAGGAAAACTTGTAACACATTCTTTACTGATTTGTAGAGTGAGTACTTGTGGGTCACCCACAATGAGTAGCCTTCTCTGAATCTATTGGAAGGACAGTATGCTTGGCCTTGATACTCTCTTTGTATGTGCTGTGGACATCATTGATAATGTTGTTTTGAAGTCTCATAGTAGATTTAATTTTTCTATTTTGAAACAAGATAACTGAAAGCCCCTGCAGCAGCGAGAAAGGAAAGCTGGACTTAGGGAAGTGGTCAAAAAAGTAGTGGAAAAGTGGCAAATGAGTGTTGTTTCAGAAGAGAAGAGGCTATCACCTTACACCTCTGTGACATGTAGTAGTTGT